CCCCCCGCCTGCCCCTGATGTCCCCTGAGTCACCGGAGTCCAAGGTGAGTGCCTGCAAGCAAATGAGTCTGTGCTGGCTTTTTAAGAGGACTCCTGGATTCCCCGCAGCCTTCCGTCCCACCTGGCCTGTTGGAATCCCCACTGTTTTTCATAGTCAAATGTGGGGACTCCTCTTCTTGGCACCAGTGCTCCGGCCTGGGGAGGTTGGTGTGAGGCTGGGGTCCCTGGCTCCTCCAGGGGGAACTTCCGTGGTCCAGATATCCCTCCTGGTTCTCAACTGCCACACGCGGGTGTGGAGCCTGTCCCTCTTCTCTGCCCCTCCTACCAGTCGCTGCTTTTTATCCTTAGTTATAAAACTTCTGCTCAGCTAGACTTTAGATGGTCTCCAGGTTGATTGTTTTAGAATTTAGTTGTAATTTTAATGTGTTCACGGAAGGAGGCAGGCACCGTGTTTATCTACTCCGCCATCTTCGATCTCCTCTCTCTCGGTTAATGTGTGATTTTTAATGAGGCCTTGTTGAAATAATAGCCCTCAGCTAATGGGAAGACCACAGCAGCTTGGCCACTGTGATGCATGGCCCTGGGGGAGGGGGGGTCCTTTGCTGTACAACTTGTCCTGAATCAAGAGAGACAGCAGCCTACCTTTGAGCTGTCATATCAAAGCATGCAAGATCACTGTGTAGACCTCCAGGGGAAAGAAGCAGGACCCAGTGGTTAAGCTATGGCAATGTTTTCTTGTTGCAATTTTGTTTATTAATCGCTGTATTGTTACTGAATTGACAGTCTGGTGCTTTCCTGTAGAAATCACATTGGTTCCATCCCCTTAGGGATGGCAGAGCAGGGTGGCCAAAACAAGTTGGGTGCTTGTTCTGCCCTTTTGCCTTTTACTTAAATTCCTCTGCCACTTTTTTCCTTTTGGCACTGTTATCTTCAAGCCTATTTCTCCACTGCTTGGATGTAACGCTCTGGAGGGAGAAGGAGCTGTCACCTTGTTTCCCTTGGTTTAACGGATGAAGTGATTGTGGTCTGATGTTATGTAATTGTTTCCGTCTGATTCTCCTATTCCTGTTTCCATCCAGTTCCTTGCTCCTCTCTTTCCTGTTCACTCACATGTCTCCAATTCTTTTTTGTACCTAGAATAGTCTCACTATTCCCCGTTTGCCTCCACAAGCCTGCTGTTTCCAGGAAATTACATAATGTTCATTTGAGATGGAAATCTTCTGGAGGATGAAGAGAGTTTAATTACTCATTGGGTAGAGAAGCCAAGTCATTTCTTTCTCCAGAGTTGTTCTTTTAAACTGATATTACCAGCTCTGAATGCAGCCAGGTTGTTTTTGTCTGTTTGGGGCTCTGTAGGCTGTCAGTGTCCACGATGTGGGTGTCCAGCTGGTACCATCAGGCTAGATGGGATGGCACTTTCCATGGCTCTTGAGGAAAGGCTCCTTCAGGAAGGTCCTGGGGTGAGCCGGTGTTTTCTGCCCAGGGGCCCGTTGCAGTGCTGGGACAACGGAGGGCATCTTGGCTAGGAGGCACAGGTGGGCTTCCGAGGGACATGCCCGGTCAGGGGCAGTTACGGTGCTACTGTCTGTATCTCCAGTGGTGGCCCAAAGGCTGAGGAAGCTAGATTTCCCTGTGAAGGACAGTGGAGAGCCCAGCGCCCCTGGGGCTGACAAGAACCACTTCCTGAGACCCAGAGAGCCTAGAGAGGACACTGGGAAGGTAAGTGGACAGACGCCCTGGGCCTGAGTCCTCCCTTCTCATGGGCTGAGGTGTGGGCAGAGGGCAGCCAGCATGGCCTGGTGCTAAAGCAGGCTAGGCAGAGAAGCAGTACCTTTAACTCTGTCCCTGAGGAGATGGTCAAGGTGTTAGGGCCAACAGTATATTTCTGAAGCCTATTGCCCTGTTCCTTGTCCTCTGCTCTGGGAGTGCGTTCTGAGGGGTGGAGTGGGTGTTCCAGAGCTCTATCACCCCTGTGGCTTGAGGTCTTTCCCCTTCCCCGGGTCAGAGACAGCGGGGCCCATGCAGAGGACAGAGGGGCAGTTTGGTAGACTTGCTTATAGAGACTGGCTGTTCCCACTTACCTCACAGAATAGACACAGTTTTTATTTACTACTATTCCTCTCAGGTAGTAGTCATTTCCATTTAAGGAAAAAACCATTTCTGTCAATTTTCCTGTGTAACAGCCCCAGTGTTTTATAAGCCCCATTTG